TTATGCAATTTTCATCATGTCCATACCAGGACATGGTGGAGCTTTGCCTGATCAGGATGGTACAACATTTCCTTCTTAAATTGACAAAGTCATGTAATGTTATAAACTGATGTATCTTGACTAGAAGACATCATGTATTTTGCACTAAATTTTTCCAAGACTTTCTATTCACCCGTAGCACTCCACAACGACCTCCCCATATTGTGACTGGGGACTAATGAATGGAGGGAGAATTAAAAAGTATCTTTTTTGTGCTTGGCATCTTATCTCACTGTCTATCTGTCTATTCTTGGCAAATAAGCCAGATGTCTGGTTTTCCACAAAAAAGCTGCTATACAATGATCAAATCTGTGGGGGAATAATTCTACCAATAGGGTAACTGCAGAATATTATGGTATTTGTGATATTTGTGTTCCCATATTTGCTCATTTTTACAATTTATTTTTTATTTTTTCAGTTCACTAAAGTATTTAATAGATATACACATACATGCATGTATTACACTACTATACTGATGTTTGCAGTGTTTTTTATGTGTAATTCAGTTAATTGAAACTACTACACATACTTACATTGCTTGAACCACAGTCTAACCCTAGCTGGCATTGACTTTAAAGTCCTATGATATGGCTATTGAGAAGAGTAGAAAGGGTAATCATTGGTAGATGAGATATCCTGATTCATGGGAGATAAAGATACCAATTCCACACATATGCATTATTTATGTATGTAAATTGAACATATTTGTTTTTTTTAGTTAAAAATAACTCATGATGGATGGTAAATGGACTTATATGTGTTTTTCATTTAAACACATTTGAACATATAATTTAAGATATTGACACACAGGTCAAATAATAATAACATAATAAAAATACTACTATAATGTTTTGTGTTATAGTTAGCATTCTATAAAGAACAAATCTATTGATAGTGGACACACTGTGAACATATTTGTTATTATAGACTGCTAACAATAACAGAACACCTATGGTGGCATTTTTATGTACATATAGAGCATATGCAATTTTGACTAATATTAATTTTCATAAGCCTTTGCTCTGCTTAGCAGTGTGAAAGGCACATTGAATATAATGAAACACAGGCTCAAATCCCCATTCTGTATGTTATTAAACTTCATTGTCAATATACTGTGTGCCCAGGGGTTCCCTGTCCCTAATAAAGATTTGCGCTGTAAGAGCACATACAGATGTTTATAAAATAAGGCTTCACATTTTACACTCAAAAACATAAATGCAGCAATGAATAACACATAGAAGCCTACTACTTTATATATATCTCTGAAAGGGCTCTATAGAAAGACAACATATCAGTTTTATGAGTCAATTACAACCATACTTATTTAACGTGGCTAGTATTGATAAGCTGTCATTAAAAACAATTGAACTTGCAAAATTTACACAGGTGAAAGAGCCCCTCTGGACAACCATAGAAACCTTTGCATTGGTATGAGTGGGGTGGCCAGTGTCCTAGTTAATTTTTACTAGGTAGCAGGGATCTAGTAAACATTACATCATTTATTCTCTAATTTTGTTGGTGGTGGTAAAAACAAGTGCTTTCCTAAAGTGTATCTAACGTATATGCACATTTTTAGTTTTGGATAGAATGGGGAAGGGTAAAACCTTTGTTAGGTTGACATTGTCCTGATGGCTATTGTTACAGGGATTAAAGATTAGGAAAGATTCAACATTTTGAGTCGTCACCTGAACAGGACAAGAGGGGAAACTTTCCAATGGGAACATTTGTTCCATTGACAACTGTGCATGACTGCTTTATTCCCACTTCCTGTTGTTTCTGCAGGACAGAAGATTAATCTGTAGGGATGCAACTATACTAGTTTTTCGGTATTGAGTACGAGTACAGATATTTTTTTCTGTACTCGTCAATACTGAATACTGATATCAAAAATGTCCCATTAAGGAAGCCCAGCAGCGTGTAATGACTCACCACCTGGCTTCCTGATTAGCCGAGAAGCTGGGCGGCATGTAATGACTTGCCGCCTGACTTCCCAATTAGCCGGGAAGCCGTCTCCATGCTCCCTTGTCACCTGGTGATGAGGGAGCATGGAGCCAGCTTCCTGGCCAATCAGGAAGCTGGGGGTGAGTCATTACCCACCCCCAGCTTCCAGATTGGCCAGGAAGCCAGCTCCATGCTCCCTGGTGATGAGGGAGCATGGAGCCGGCTTCCCGGCCAATCAGGAAGCCGGGCAGCGTGTAATGACTCACCGCCCAGGTTCCTTGCACCAGAAGTTCCAGTATCGAGATAGGCATCTGGAGCATTTGGGCGAGTACAAATAATCGGTATAGGCACCGATACAGATACTAGTATCGGTATTGGTGCATCCCTATTATTCTGCCCAATAGAACACACAAAAAAATTAATCTGACTATTCCCTACTCTATCCTAATCTATCCAAAATAATTTAAAAAAAGTTTTGGCTTTGGAGAAACTTTAACAGAGCTATTCACAAAAGGGTGAAGAGTTTGGAGAAGGCAGGAGAAGTGAACAATCTAGGATAACATAGCTGAACTGGAAAGAGCTGAATTGGAGAATTTTTCCAAATAAGCTATTTTGGCCTAGATTGTTCACTGCCTTCTCCAAACTCTTCACCCTTTTGTGAATAGCCCTGTAAGAGTTCTAACCAGACTTTTTTTATGTAAACCAATTGAAGAAACTCCCTGGCTCAGGATGGCCTTACTTGGCCCAAGCCATGTCCAATTTGAGCATCACCTATGACTGGATAGGGATTATTATAGGAGTTACTCACCTTCCCTGCTGCTGCAGCAGCGTGTCTCTTATGACTTGTGGGCATGCTCATTTTTGTGTTTTACCCCAAGTGTCACAGCTACGGCCAGGCAGGTGCAGATGCGTCACTCAGCCACCTCCCTAAAGACACCCATGTACATGATCATGCCAAGCCTATTGGTGTGTCTCTTACATTACTGAGCCTCCCTATGCCTCCGCCTGATCCATGCAGCTCACAACTGCTACTGCAGGTATGCTCTGCCTGTCGCTCCAACTGTCATTCTTGGCTGCTGGCACTGTTTCTGGTACACCCCATGTTTGCCTTGCTTCTGGGCACAATAACTCCTGGTATGCTCCATTTGCCAAACTCTGCCCTTAGAGTTTTTACAATCTGGCCCATCTAAGCATCTCTTTCTGCAGTACGTCCGCCTACCCTGTGTTTCCACACTAATCACCTGGCCATTTCTGCCAGTATTCCTATCCTATCGTTCTGCTGTGTCTGGGGGCAACTAAGTCCAAACCCCCATGAGCCGGTCCCTGATGAATACCATTTGTCCATTAAACTCTGCTTCTTGCCCAGTCGCTGTCAGAATAGGATCTAATTCTCTCTGTTTCACTTGGTTCATGGCAGTTAGAACAACACAGCAGACAATAACGAGCATTGCAGCTAGATGGGCTTACTATTACACACTGATTTTCTAAAAATACAAGTGCTAACTTTCCATAGAAAAATGAAATTACAAGGTACATTGCAGCAATTCCTAGTGAGTTGAATGATGGACAGATGTCTTATCGTTTGTCTTTCTACAGTAGACTGTAACATGTATTTAGAGACATAATTTGTAATATAAGTGGTTAAAGCTATGATTTGCTATCATGTATTGCCTCCTCCTGGTTCCCTACATTCCTCATTTATAAAAGTGTCTAAAGAAAGAATTTGTCTAACTGTTTCTCAACAACCCATCAAGGTCTTTGTTTGTTCTCCCAAGCTGTGTTCTGGTTGCTGTGGGGCAGCACTGACCATCATTTCTTTACTTTTACTTTTAAAATGTGACCATATGAGCTTAAATTTAAAGGAACCCTGTACCAAGAAAACATGTAGTCTGCCATTGTTGAATTTCTCTTTTGAACATCATAGTTGCCTGGCCTTTATGCTGTTCCAAAGGCTTCAGTAGTTAGTGTCAGTGACCTGGAACAAGTATGCAGACTATGCATACTTTTTCCAGAGCAAGAACTTAGAATGTATCAAACACGGAGATAGCAATGGCAGCCCTAGAATTATTGCTCTTTCTCTGGCTTTTGTGGCCCAACATGTATGGTGCAATCGTTGTTTTTGTATGAAGGTACAACCGTCATTTGCTTGTGTTTGTATGTGCTTGTAGGGGGAGTTTAATCAAATGATTTAGTGTTTTTTATTGATTTTATGTAAGTAATTTTTTTTTCCCTTAACTGTATTGCTATCACATAGGGGGGTCACAAACCTGTGGTGACAGATTCTATTTAAGAAGATATTAGGGGTCTATTATTCCAATGTAGCTTATCATAATTGTGCTTGATAAGCTTCAACCCTGGCCACAGCAGTCGGGGAATTATAGCTCAGAAACCGGAAGTGACGAAATGCTTGTCGCTTATACTGAGCTTAGGGTGACGGGAGGATGCTAGTTTGTGTCCTCCCTTTACCCTTAGGAGAACTATGGGGAAAAGCCATAACCCCATAGTTCTCCTTTAATCTCACTTTAGTGTTCTGTATTTTGTATGCCAAAGGCAACTCTCACAACACAATAGCTTTGACGGTATTTGCCTAGTGACCATGACATCACTGGAGTTGGGATATATCATTGCTGTAGGTGTATCCCAAACAGCTTGAATCCAAAAATTGTATTATTATAAAGGAAAAAAGAGCAAGACATGGCAATCAGACTCTATGAGTTTGCACACAAACTACACAGAATTGTAACGTTTAATCATCCAAGGCATACATTTTTTGTACTGGGCAGAAGCAATTTTTTCGGTTATTTTAAATTAAAGTAAAAAAAAGAATGTTTAGAATATAACTATTAGTTCAAGTAGGCAGTTACTTACTTGTGCTAGCAATGCTACAGATCATGAAGAAAAATGTAATTAATAAAACAAAAGTGCATGATGATCTGCTATGATGATTTGAGAGCAAATAAAATCAAATGCCTTGCTTCTAAGATGATGTTATGAGCGGAGTAAAAATCACAGGCACTCACCACCTCCCAGTTCCTCTCCTTGTTGAGAGCAATCACCACCAGTGCAGGATTGATGAGGTACCCATCTTCATTAAATGAGAAGTCCTTTCCTCCCCAGGAGATGTTCATGAAATATCTGTTAAGATAGTATTCCAGTCTCAGTAAATGATAGCAGCAAGGGACTGCATTTGGTATTCTGCTCTAGGGCCCTTATAGTTGATTGGCTAATCTATCAAAAGTTTGATAAAATAGCAATATATGTTCCTGACTGACAGTGGTCATAATGCTGCCAATACCTGACACCTTGTCTAAATCATAGCAAACAAATCAGTTAAACACCAGTGTAGAAGTTGGAGCAGTTTTTAAAAATCCATTTACCGCATAAGAACAGCAAATGTGGTATGCTCAGGGCATAATGTGTTAGAAAGTGTAAGGAAGTAATAATTTAGTTAGAACTATCAACTGCTTGCCCTTTCTAATAAATTGTTTGACCCAGTTCAGGTCTACAACTGGCCACAGAGAGTAGAAATGGTTAGAAGATCTTACCACAGAAAATATATTTGGATGGGTGTTTGTTATGCACACCTCTGGTGCTGACGCTTCTCTGGGAACAAGGAGTCCTAATATATGTCCTTAGTGATTCCAACCAGACTTTAGACACTTTTCTTATTTTTTTTCTCTTAACGCTGTGGGTACACCTTAGACAACCTAAATATTATGTAATCCTAATACAGTTGTAGGGGTGAGGTTTGCCACTACCATAGGTTCTCCGTTTCAGATATACAATGGGGGGAATTTATTCAAACTGGAGCAGACAAAATCTGGAGCAGATTTGCCCTGCAACCAATCAGCTTCTCTGTCTCTTTTCAAATCTTACCTGAGCAAATTGAAGAGAGATGCTGATTGGTTGCCATGGGCAACTGCTCCAGAATTCTGCCTGCTCCAGTTTTGATAAATTGCACCCTCTATATTTAATTGCAAGTAGTTTGTTTGGTAATATGTGGTGAAGCAGGGGTCAGCAAGACTTACAACTCTGGTCATGCATAGCAGTGGGTAAACAATTTAAATGTTTATGGTAGTTCTTAAGTACATAACAGGGACTAAGAACTGTGTACCTCCTGACAATCTAAAAAATCGCAGGGTTAGGCCCCTGTATAACAATAAATAAGGTCCTTCAGCAACCATTACAAATTATATATGTTTGGGTATCCAGATGCACAAGAGTCTAGCATGTACAGGGGTAGAGAGCAGTGGACAGACATATACATAAATATATTGGTTAACACTTGGGGACCTTTTAGATTATTTCTTGCCATATATGTGTATATAAATATATTTTTTAAAGTGGCCTGACCTTTACTGGTGATGTTACTAGCAGATGAACTAAGGGAGGACAGTAGATCAAGATATACTCTGTTTAGGGTTATTCGATTTTCAGTTGAATATTAAAATGCACATTTTACTGTGTGTTACCACAATGCAAGGTAATGCATCAGTATATGTGCATTGAGATATATTTTATCATGTATCAAACTTATTATATACAGCAAACAATAATGCACCTGCATTATAGTGCACCACAAAACACATATGTAACAATTCTGAGTTGTGGTGTGCTGCATTAAAAAAAAAGGATGCAGGTGCATTTTTACATGTTTTGCAGTGCACTGACATGCCATTAAAAATAAACACACAATACTAATGTCATTTACATTAGCACACAAAATGACATAAATGATTGCACTGCAACAATGTGAATGAGCCCTTAATGATGGTTGATAATCTCAATTTATTAAAATAAATCTAATGCATTAATATCCACAAACCTAACATCTAGGAAATACAATGTTTTGTAAAATGAAAAATGTTACCGCATACATCTTATATTATAGTGAAGGTAAGATTTAGCATATTCATGAAAATAGAAAAGGTTTTGTGAGTCATGAAAGGTTGGTATGAAATTCTACTACTCTGGAACATTTGGATATTTTAGAGAAATAATGGACTTTGTTTTGAGAGCATTACAGACATTCTTTATATGTCTGTTAGGAACTGAACTTTTGTTGCACTGCTAGTCAACAATAGGATTTCCATTACTACAGGATGTCAGTTCATAAAAGGTTTGTTGAGTAAGCCATTTTGCTCCTGAAAGCTGAAATTAATCGTGTTTCTGGAGAATAAGAATTTTCTATTCTCATCTTGTATTTGCTAAAGCATAGGTATAGAGTATTGTGTAACTCAACTGACATCTATTCTGTAAGTGTTTTATATATGGCTAGAGTAAGATTGCTTTGTCTTCATGTACAGAAATACATAGGTTGCCATTGCTGTCCTCTTTCTTAACATGATAGCTAACTAATTTTGGCTAAGTCATCTGGAAGATGACTGTCACAGTCATCATCCAGATTTAATACATTTAGGGGTCTATTCACTAAGCTGCCATAGGCAGCCGAGTGAATGACCGACCTAAAGCGAAGTGAGCCGAACGCTTTTCGGCTATTCACTTCAGGCTGGTACGGTTGAAATCAGCCGTACATCGGGTGGCTTCACGTGCCTTTGGGTCGGCCGAACATGCCCAGCATGTTCGGCCGACCCGAAGGGCAGGAGGAGGTCGACTCAGCCGAAAATTGAAATAGCCAATAGGAGTCTAGCAATGCATTCCTATGGGCAAAATTATTATTATTTTTGTCTATTCTGACATGGCTCCGTGTCAAAATAAAGACAAAAAAAAAGAAAAAGCAGTGTTTCTCTCCTGGGCGCCCGGGAGTGTTTGCTGTCTGGAGATCAGTGTCCCTGGTTAGCTGGTAACCAGGGACGCTGATCTCTCTGCAAGTCCGCCCAGCTGTCAGAAGCTCAGCCGAGCCGAGGCATATGCCTTCGGCTCAACTAAGTTCAGGAGCTGTACGGGCTATTGTGAATAGCCCGTACAGCAGCCCTTCGGTTCTAATGAACCGAAGGGGTCCTGGGGCCGAAGCTAGCCGAAGGATCGGCCAAAGCTACGGCCAGATCCTTTGGCTACTTCGTGAATAGACCCCTTAGTCACTGGCTCTGAACAAGCACCGTCGAATAAGTTGAGACTTATTTGGCTCCCAGATCTAGTAGACCCACTGTGTCGAATCTGGTTGACTATAGGGGAAAGCACTCATGGACTCTACTTGTTCAGCTCACTTTTCTTAATGTAACAATATAGTTTCAGAAAACATTGCATTGTTGCCACAGGTTACTATGAAAACAAAGAAACAAAATCAGCAAAAAAATGATAGTTAAGGGAAGAAAGAGTTCATTATTTATTATTGGTATTTGATCAGCACCGACAAATTATGCAGCGCTTTACACAGTGCACATTCACATCAGTCCTTGCCCTCAAGGAGCTTACTATCTAAGGTCAGCAGGAGCAGCTGTTTTCTGACAGCTGCTCCTGCTGAATAATATAAAGAAATGACAGGCTGTCATCTTGACAGCCAGTAATTTACACAAATATCAGTGGAGGGAGAGGCAGCAGGGAGAGAGAGGCTGGAGGTAAGAGATGCATCCTATAAACCTTTTTAGGACACATCTCTTAGATTCAAAATCCTCAAGTGGATAACATGAAGCTATACCTTTTCAGAAGAAAAAATAGCATTTAAAATGTTTGACTTTTACAGGGCTAGTTACAAGTGTTGCTAGAATTATTATAGTCCTATGATTCCCTTGGGGAGACTGGAGAGAAAAAAGTTGCATTACTACAAATCTCCTTATTAATTTCCTGATCAGGAGAGTATGGTTTAAAAGAGCACGGTTAAATAGAGCCTAAGCCTGCTTCTCCCTGTATACAATGCAAACATACGCTACACAATATATGCCTTATTTACCATGCCACAAGTAATAGTCTCACAAACACACATAAACCTCAGGACAAATGATAATTATTTAAAAATGAAACCCTTCCATTATACACAATTTTCTGTACACAGAATATAGACATACAGTATATCTGACACTCTGAGCCTAACTAATAATTGGGGCAAATCAACCAGCAACTGTTGCAACAATGAACAGTTAAGTCAGGAGGATGTATGTGCAGTGCAGCTTACAAAGTAGGACTATGTAATGAACAACATAGTATATAGAGCGCAGTGGTCATTACTTTTGAATATACAACATAGCTTTTAGCGTGCGGTGTATGGTAGGTAACAGGTCCTCTTGCTTTGGCTGTAGTAGAGTGTGTTTTTAATCTTATGAAACATATGCTGATAGTTTCTGCTATCATATGAGGACTGATAATATTTGTTTCTGAACAATGGAATTATTATAAGACTGCAGACATCACTGGACATAGCAGAAATCAAGCTGAAACCTGCTGTGATAGTATTTAACCCTATATACAGTATATATACATGTATCCATTTAATATGCTTTGTTATATTCTATACACCAACCTTTCTTACATGCCAACTCTATCCTATTACGTGACGATATTCCTGAAACTTGATAACACGTAAGGCTTACCTTCATAAAGGTGTATACTTTATATTATTATATTTTTAATATTATTATGATGCGCATGTAATTGTCTGTATAAAAACTTTCATATGCCCAATAATTTGTAAATGTCTCTCTTCTTATCACATATACTGCATGATATTAAAACCATTTTGGATTATCATAATAATAGCAGGATTTTATCTGGACTGATCAATTTATCCAAGACAAGTGGAACGAAGTATAAGATACAACATAGCACAGAGTAATGGTAATGAATATGTATGTAAAAAAAAAAAAAAAAAA